TAAACGTTATAAACCAGTGTAGAAACATCTAAGGAACTTAATAGAACCTTTTAATCTAATCAAAACAACAATTTAATGGATCAAAATTGAAACTCAATTCGTTTTGTTTTTAAAACCCTAGTTTCACAAAATTTGCAAGAACGGTTGCGTACCTGTTTGAACCATATCGTAGATTGACGAAGAACTAGGTCTTCCTCTCTATTACCCTTTCTCCAATATGACGGCGTCAATGAGACATCTATCACACACAATAAATTTTATGAAAGAACTCTGACTATGTGTTTATATAAGGGCTAGAGAGAGAACCTAGCTGTAATTAATAAAATCTTGAAGAGCCCTCCCATTACGGGCCTCATTGGGTTGAGCCTACACTCACCGTCGTACTAGATCCGATCCACCAGGCACATAAAGTGCACGGCCCAATAACTAATTATCACATTTATAATTGGGCTCACGTTTATGACTATTATCAAACCCGAATATTTAAATATAAATAAAATATTTAATAATGTAAGTCCAGTTTTCTTACGGCTATCATCCAATATTTGTTATAGTGCCTTTAAATAATATCACTTCTATCTTCACAGATCAAATACTTTATGATTATTCTAGGAGAAAGCACAAATCAAAACTGATGCACACATAAGGAGGCAAATCATAAACCAATGAAGGTGGGAGTGGAAATTACCTTTTAGAAAAAAGTAGTGCTTATGCTATCGGGCAAATCGTTGAAAAGAGAAAAGGTGCAAAGAGTTTCATAAGATCAACATATATAAATAAATACAGTGAAAAAGAAAAAAAATACATTATAAGGTCACTCAAAAAATATATACAAGTAATTATCCATAAAAGGTGATTTCGTAATTTTAAAAATAAGATAAATTATTTATTACAAATAGATAAAAATAATCTGACAATATAAAAATTATATTACCGTTGTATATAAGTAAAAAGTTAACGAAAAAAGATAACACTATTAGTAAAATCAGTGGACAGGATCAGAGGTTGATCTAGAATTTTTATAAGATGGTACATCACTAAAGAAGGAGTAAAAAGAAAGTATTAAGTGAGAATTGATACTTACTCCTTTAAGTAAATAACTCAGCATCCAACTAAGTGCACTATTTAGCCTCTTTGAAGCATGGGTGCTAGCAGAGAAAATATGTACATAAAATACCTAATTTGACGAAAAGATCATTAGCTTACGTGCCCCGTATATAAGCCGCCACAGGTACACAATACGTCTAATAATATAATCTCTATGGGCAGATACCTGACACAAAACAATATATATATAGGTAACAGTTTATAGCTTCGAGAAACTCCATGACCTAACCAAGAATAAATAGAGATGAACATATTCAATGAGTTCTTGAATTAGGAAACACCCAAATGTGGGAGCTTCTATTGGTTAATGTGAATAATTGGCAGAAGTAGTACAATTCATTGAATGATGATATATTCAGGTCATTTTGAGAGTAATCTCTCTGATAGTCGAGTCACATTGAGAATTATCTTTCCGATATTCGGGTCATTTTGAGAGTAAACTCTCCGATAGTTAAGCCACAATGAGAGTAATCTCTCCGATAGTCGAGTCATCTTGAGAGTAATCTCTCCGATATTCGGGCCAAAATAAGTACTCATCCCTTCACACCCTAAAACATCCTTCTTCATGTGTGGATCATCTTGTTAGACAAGAACATATATCTTTCTTGTTTGACCTACAAAGAAAACAGTAAAGGAAGAAAAGCACAAGAAAATAAGAAGAAATTACCTTCGCGTCAATGTTTCCAAGTCGTCAAAAATAGACTCCAAGTGGTTTTAAGTTCAAATCTCAGCGTATGCAAAAATACACTAGGAGATTATTTCTTCCCATATGTTCAACTTTTATAGTATGTTTGACCAAGATACTTTTTGGCCAAAAGTTCTTTTTCTAAAGTTAATGTGATTGAACGAACTTTTAAAAGGAAAAAAAATACTTTATTCGGTCCACAATAAGTGACTTTTTGGCTGTTTTCACACAGAATAAAAAATTTATATTTTAATATTAATTAGTAATGAAATTGACCATATTAATCTTTACTATCTCTTCACATAAACATTCCTAACACATACTCCAACACTATTTACTCCAAGGGCAATGTAGAGAAAAGATAATTAATTCATTCTTCAAATCTGAAAAAATCATATATTAAAAAAAAAGGTCAAAAAATTATTTATTGTGGACATGAGGGAGTAATTTTGAGCAAAAGCAGAAAAAAATAGCTTATTTCCAAACATACTTTTTTGAAAAGCACTTTTAAAAATATATTTAGAAACAATTTTTAAGAATTTTTCCAAATATTAATTGTTGCTCAAAAGTACTTTTCAAATTAATTAGTCAAACACAAATTGCTTCTCGCCAAAAGTATTTTTCTTAAAAACACTTTTGAAAAAAGTTTTTTTCAAAATTAGCTGATTTTATAAGTTTAGCCAAACATGTTATTAATGGACAGAGTCACTCGTCACCTATGTTGGTGGAAGGTGATAAATACCCTATTTAATTCGCCAAGGTACGTGCAAACTTGTGAATTATCAGGAAGAAAATTCTATGGCTTCTAAACATGATATTTTTCACAACATTAACTTCGTGAACAGGTTGTAAAGAATTCAAAGCCGGTGGCGGAGCCACATTGAAGCAAGGGGTGTCAAGCGATACCTCTTTCGCCGAAAAATTATATTATTTTGCTAGATAAATTTTTTAATTTTATGTATATTTACTATACGTTGACTATCCTTGAGTTTTCGATGTATCTAATTATTTATATTTTGACAACTCTCGATGAAAATTCTGGATCCGCCACCGTTAGCAGCTCACAAAAAGATCATAAATAAACCAACTAATTAGCTGACCTACATTTGTTATTTAACCTCCATTGTTAAAGATGTAAAACAGCTTATTCAATGGCCGCTATTTTGACAATCTGGTAATTCATGTTGGACTTTGAAATTTGCCCATTTATTAACTAACAGCTGCAATTTGACTATGATATAAAGGAGACTCTTTGATACTCTTTATGTTCCCTTTGCCTCTTTTACTTCTTCACTTTAATAAATCAAATGACAATTAATTATTATTTTATATTTTTATCCTTATCATTAAATTATTAGTTTTCAAACTAATTGGAGTACTAGTGGTCAAATTTAAAATTTTAAAGTGCCATTAGTAAGGATAATTTAGTAAATAAATATTTAATTAATTAATAATATTTTGTTTAAGGGACAAGTAAAAGGGGAACAAATGAGGTACTATATTACTTTCGAGAAGTACGATTTCATTAAGTACTAATAGATAATGGCATTGTCGGCGAAAATATTATTCTACGTACTAAATATTATCAGAAACATTGTACACCTGTTTTAGTGCTTATCTTACTATAAAAGGGAAGCAGTCAATCTCATTAATTTGCACGAGTCCCTTCTAGTAGTCATTTTGTACTACTACTGCCCACATGCCACAGACTGTTAAAAAATAGTAAAAATAAGGAAAACGTACTTACTTGATTGTTGTCTAATGTTTTTCAGAAGTGTGAACAATTGCAACCATTACCTTGTCTCATCCTTAGCATGTGTTAATTAAAGCACAGGCTCTAAATATTATTATAAAATAATTTGCAAGGCACAAGAATTTTCTTGATTCCTCGATAAGATTCTCAAGATTATTGTTAATTATTCTATAAATATCTTCTGTCCACCAACAGAATATTTAGCATTAATATGTATGTGTTAATGTTGTTGTATTAATATAGCATTACATTTTATAGAAGTATATATAATTTTAATATTCTTTTATCTTTAATTTTTAAAAAAAATTTGTTGGACCCACTTAGCCCATTTAGCCCGCAACGGGACCGTTTAGCTTTGGATCAAACGGTCCCGGTCCCGGGCCGGTCCCTACAAAAAGACTGTTTGGCCCGGGACCGGGACCGGAACCGTTTGGACCGGCCCACTTGCCACCATTAGTCCCATGTAATTACGTCCCTCAGGTTTCAAATATTAGTCATTTTAATATGCTACTCTATCCGTTTCACAATAAGCGATAATTTTAGTTTTGGCATATCCATTAAGAAAATACAAACTCCTACAGAAGTATTCACTAAATTAACCTTAATTAATTATTACCTTAACACATTGGAATATGTAAATAAGGGAAAAGTTTGAAAAAATAAAATTAATTCCTTCTTGATTATGTAAATTGACACTTATTTTGAACCAAAATAAAAACGTAAAATGGTCACTTATTGTGGACCGGAGGGAGTAATATTTTTCGAAAGATATGATGTTTTAGAAGAAAAAAAAAGAAGTCACATATTGCTTCTGTTTTTTTCTCTTTTGGGTCAAATGACTCAAATCTATTTTTATTGTTCTAATTAGTGAAGCATTAATTAATTGAAATGTTGGAGACATAAAGAGATATTTAGACATATACAACTCATTATAATTAATTAAGCCTATTAAATATCTTTAATATTTTAATGTGTATACAAAAATCTTACTAAAAACCTTAAAATTTGGACCTTTAATAATTAGGTAGTACTTTTAGTATTTTTGAAAGTGGAGAGTGCGTGGGAATAGTGCTAGCATAGAATAGCATCTTCATTCCAAGTTCCAACAAACCATGTGAAGTATCTTACAAAATTAAATTATAATGAACTCCAAACGTTTGAAGTTTGTGTAATTAATTAGTGAAGGTAATAACGAGGGTTGTCTCAACAAAAATGGATGCATTCAGTAAAGATAGCAACTATATATACGAGCTGCTAACATCAAAATTTTAATATGAAGGACCAACCATATATAGTACTAGGTCTCAATTGGCTGCAAAAAGTAATACGAAATTACAAAAGCATCTTTCGAAAACAGGCCACCCAACAAAAAAAAAAAATTGATATCAAGAATATCAAAACTAAAACCTAAATTAAGACTTAAAGCAAAGAAAATATGATTGTTTCTTGAGTTCATCACTTTGAGTTCTTGATTCTTTCCTCATGGAAAAAATCAAGCAAAACAGTACTCTTGCATTTAGGGCATTTTGGCTCATGCACTGATAACATAACATACATTAAACATCTAGGGCATCCCACAAGCATCATTGAAGTTATTTCTGGGCTGCTAGGGTAACCGATAAATTGATCGTCGGGGCTCGGTTCTCGAGAAACACAGGAGCTGACTGCTGGTGATGATCTCTCCATTGAAGAAGAAGAAGATGATGATGATGATCTGCTTGGTGAAGGTGAAACTACTCTTGGAAAAATTGCCCTTGGTGGTGATAAGTTTAGCTTCAACTCAAGTTTTGCATGCCTCTCGTTGCTATACTTCATTTTGTTTTCTTGATCACGAAATCCTATATTCATATATATAATTCAGAAATAAATAATACTAGTAGCTTAAATTAAGAATAGCATATAAGTGTAAAATATATGTATAATTCATGGCTGTCAAATTTTCTTTGGGAACCAATCTTTCATGTTATATTATATTTCACTATAAAAAGAGGTGTGACCATGTCAAGAAGATAAAATTACCTCGATGAGAAGAGTTGACAATTTACCTACTAGTAGATCAAGATTATTTTGTGAGAATTGAAAGGAAGAAAGTAAGCTTGGAGTGGGAGGAAAGAGCCTAAGTTGGCCAAGATTTATATAGTAAGTTAGAAGAAAGAGAAGTTAATTATGAGGTTTATTTAGTGCAGAATTAATTATGACTGCGACTTGGATACAATAGGACAACGAGGAATATTTTTGAGAAGGCTTTAACTTAGAGGTAACAACGTAATGAAGAAGAATTCGGTAAAGCAGTTAAAAAGTGTAAATTTCGTATGGCAGATAAATAGCGGTTTGAACTATTTATTAGGTTCGTGTAGATTCTTGAGATAGTAAATTTTTGCAACTTTATATAAAGTCATGTGATCATTTTAATAAAGCTGAGGGACGATTTCATTAAAATCTTGGAAAATATCGCTTTCTCAGGATTAAAAACTTATCACTACAATGGAAATATCATTATGATGTTATTTAAAGGCTAACTATACATTTTAATTTCTCACATGCCACCTTTATTATAGGTTTTAAAGAAGAGTTTTTTGGGCATCCAACCATATAATCACACGAATTTGAAAATGTTTAGTTAATCAAATGAGAGCATGATTCATCGACATTTCTTTTCTAACTTTTGACCTCAATTTAACATGATTTATTGAAGGTCGTTTCTTTTCTAACTTTTGATTAGTTGGTATTACTACCCTTTTGTGTATAGTCATTATTTCCCAAATATTTCTCTATTTGTGACAAATGTTTGATTAATTAAACAAATAACCTGAAAGCGCTTCACTCTACGATTTTCCCTTTCTCATCAGCAACATAGCAACTGCAAAACATTAATATCAACGGTTTATCTATATATTTACTTTATTAATACAAAATTTTCAGAAAAAAAGGTCGTGTATATTTGGGGATATTATACGATACGTTTTGATAACTCTACTCAACATCAACAAAAATTAGCACAGTATGCAACGTGATTGATATAAATGACCGAACTAATTCATTACCCCAAAAAAAGGACTAATTCATGCTAGAAGGACTCCTCCAGACTGTAAAACAAAAATAGGATTCAAATTACATACACAGATAATATTAATATTTATATATGCTATTATTATAATTTAACGTGTTCTACCAATCTAATTGTCATATTTATCAAGTTACACTAATTTATACTTATCAGGAGGTGACGTGATTTTGTAAAATAATTTTTACACTATTACTGGATAAACATAAACTCAAAAAAAAAATCAAAAAATAAAAATCAAAAAATTAGTCGGTTATGGCTTGAATGCCTACCCCTAAAAATTAAAAAAAAATAAAATAAAAAGAAATGCCTACCCCTTGGCCCGGGGCCATCACCGTGCTATATTCTCGTTATGTAACCTAACCTAGTTAAAGCATTACATTAATGGAGCACATGTCCGAGTACTCTCATTATTTAGGGTGTGTTTGGTACGAAGGAAAATATTTTTCGAAAAATATTTTTTAATTTTTTTATATTTGGTTGGCTTAAATATTTTGAAAAACTTTTTTCTCGTAAATTCATTTTCCGCCAATTAGAGAAAAATNCAACCCCACCCTAAAAAAATATTATTAATATTTTTTACTATCTAACCAAACACTAGAAAATATTTTCGGAAAAAGTTTTCCACTCACCAACCAAACAAGAGAAAATAAGTGATAAAACCACTCATTTTTCATGGAAAATATTTTTCTTCGTACCAAACACACCCTTAATGTTTACATAACTTTAATGTCACAAGAGAAAATATTTACCTAATCTATAATGGTTAATTCTCAGTTCCATCTCCTAACATTGCCATACATGTTCACATAAACTTTGAAAACTTTTACCTAATACCCGGAGGTAGATCTAGGATTTAAGAAGGTCTATGGATTCAAACTTTAAGGTTATTAACATTGAATACATTATATTTTTAAAATTATATTATTGTAATTGTAATAAATTTTTACATATAAATTTATGCTCTAAGTTTAAATGAACCTAGTAACCTATAGCTATATCCGCCCCTGCTACTACCTAGTAAACCAACATTCTCTGCACTGTATGCATGCTGGTTGGTAATTAAGTTGATGAGGTCTTTTAATTTACTACACAACATCATTAAATGTTTATGGTATTAATTAATAAGGTTTTCTTGAATGTTTGCTAGTTATTGTTCAGTTCATATTATATACTACATAAACAAATGATGAAGAAAATAAGGTTTACTAGAAAAATGAAAAACTACAAAAGAAATAAGAAAATAATTCTTTTTCTGTTCCGCAATCTCTTTCACTTTTTTTTTATTTTGTTTACCTTTTTCAATGTTTAAAAATTGAAGAAGTTGAATAGAGTATGACATGATTAAACTTCATGATCTGATAAGAGCATGCAGTTTTTAGTTGTCTTACTAGTATAAGATACTGTTAAACTTTTCACTCTCGTTTATTTCGATATTTTTTTGTGCTTCAGTAAAATATTGTTATAGAAAATGTATATTATAACATAACATGAAAAATTAGTTCCAAAGAAAACTTGGCGTTATAGCGAAGTTTGTTATAAATGATGAATATTATAGAGAAATTTGACCGTACTTGATTCGTCTTGTGGGTCGGGTCATTACGTGTTGACTGCGGCCGTGTAGTTCTACCTCGTGACACTCTTAACTAGTAGCTACGTACTTGTTTTATTTCAAGCAACAAATTTGCTCTACAATCAACTCGAAATGTAAATTGTTTGCTGTATATATGTAAACCAAACACTAAAAGAGCATTAAAATAAAGGTAATCAATAATTAAACGGAAGTTGCTTACGAAACAATTTCTCTAATTAATTTCCGTAAATATTTATAACCAATCATTTATCACTGCTTATGAATTCATTATTGCAAGAGTATTGACAGGTGATCTAATTTAACTAAAATGTTGAACCTATATAGTTAATTAACAGGGGCGGCTCAACAGATCTAGGGACCTAAGACAAAACTATATTCGTAGGCCCTTAATCCCAGTATAATCCTATTAGTGGGATTTGGGAAGGGTAGTTTGTACGCAACCCTTACTCCTACCCTGGAGTAGATAGGCTGTTTCCGATAGACCATCGGCTCCCTCCCTCCAAGAACTTCCCACCTTGCTCTTGGGGTGACTCGAACTCACAACCTCTTGGTTGGAAGTGAAGGTGCTCACCACTAGAGCAACCCACTCTTGTCAAATATACTAATTAATGAGGGGAAAAAATTATCATAATTTATAAATTTATTGCATAAAATAACCTTAATCAAATAACAAAAAATATACTGTAACACTTTTTTTATTCTAATTATTTATATAAATTATATAATATATAATAATAACAATAACAATAAAATTTAAAATAAATTTGGGGGCCTTCAAACTTTGGGGCCTAAGTCAATGGCCTCACTACCCAAATTCTTAGAGCCGCCTGCGAGTTAATAGTAGCATCCATCGCAGCTGCAACTCCAACAATAAAAATATAATGTATGTGAGCAATTTATTGTCGGCCACTATAGAACTCCCAACATGAAAATATGTTACTCTATAAATGACAAACAATATTTTTTTTGTCTTTCGCAAAATAATTGTACCAACCAGCTGACAATGCTGATAAATTTGAAGTTATTGAGTGTACCTTCAATGAAAGGGACAACGCTAGTTTCCTTATGTGCAGTTTTATGTGAAGGTACGTAATTCTATACATGTTTAAGAAATTAAAGAAGATTTTTGATATATATGCTAAATATTCGAAATATAAAATTATTATTTTAAATAAGTGGTAATGAGAGTTCTATATAACTTTCTATTTTCACTCTTTTTATAAGAGGATGAACTTGTATATGGTGTGAGTCCGAACCAATCATGTCATTAAAGGTAAAATGAAGGTGCTAAAACTAATAGACTAAAAAAATATATCATATGAAATGAGACGGATGGAGTAATAATTGTACATGATAGCACTATTTTAATATAGTTTTCATTAAAAAATAGTAAATTAAAAAAAATATTTAGAAGAAAAATGCTATTTCAATCATTAATTGGACCCATTTCTTTTTTACAAACAAGAAAAGAATACTTAATTTTCCAAAAGGGAGCCACAAACAATTACTACAAGTTTGCAGGTTTTTGGTCACTACACCTAATAATTTGCGTATATGCATTGATGTCTAACTTACAATTAGGTGACGGCTGATAACCTTATTTTAGGTCCCAAAAATTTAAGACTCCAAAAATTAAAATCTTTACAAAAAAGAAAGAATAACCCAAGATTACGACATACCAAACAGTCAATAAAAAATAATTTTAACCAGGATAATTAATTTCAACATAACTAATCTCAGCATAAAGTGTCTTCAAAACCAAAAGACCCCTTAATTAGTCATCTGAAACACCTCAAGTATATCAAGTTGCAGGGCACTTAGTAACTGACCCTCATATCCTTGTGCCAGAAATCTAATTTCAGAACCTTTTTACACAACTAGCATTGACATATGGATTAGTCGGGCAGATTAACCCAAAAAATTGCACATTTCATCAGCAACTTACAAGATTTAACACACAAAATAAGCAGAAAGAAAGAAAAAACAAGTTACAGATAGCAAATAGAATTTAGTAATGTGACCATGACAAAGTTATTGATGTCACAGTCTAATCCTCAAGAATTTGCTGTTTTTCAAATTCGGCAATTTCAGCCAGTGAGCTAAGACTGCTATTTATTGTTTCATTGCTGCTACTTCTGCACTGAAGTAACTGTTCCC